TTTCAGAGGAGCCCAGCACTGCTGGCCGTGTTGGCCTCTGACTTCCAGCTTCCAGAAAAGCGAGAGAACACATCCCTGGTGCTTACCCCGCCTGGGGAGACAAGCACACTTGCTCTCTCTCCTGCGCTTGCTTTCCCAGATCACTCACAGATAAACTACCTGCTCACCAAGCCTTTTCTTTTCTATCTGGGTCTTCTTCACAGAAACCCAAGCGTAGGCAAGTCTGTACTGTGCAAAGAAGAATACACTAGTGTCTACTGAGACTTCAGTTTCTGAATCGACCCTTTTCAAAAATTTCAGATCAATATGAGGATACAAACAATTAGGTTGCAATGTTTGCGTTTGTTAGGTGGAGTACCTGTTGTAGTTGAGTCCCACACCCAAAAGAGATTAATACAAAAGATGGAAAGTCCCCACATTTTTATGGCTATTAGTCCATGGTATACATATACCACAGTTTGTTAATCCATTCCTGGGTTGATGGGCATTTAGGTTGTTTCCACATCTTGGCGATTATAAATTGATCTGTAATAACCAATCTAGAGGAAATGTCCTTATAAGAAAATTATTTTTTTTCTTCTGGGTAGATGCCTAGAAATGGGATTATGGGATCAAATAGAAGGTCTGTTTTGAGTTCTTTGAGGATTCTCTGTACTTTCCAAAGAGACTGTTTTTGTTTGCCGTCCCACCAACGGTGTGAAAGTGTTCCCCTCTCTCCACATCCACGCCAGCATCTGCAGCTTTGGGACTTGGTGATGTGGGAGATTCTCACTTGGATTAAGTGATATTATCTCAGGGTGGTTTTGATTTGCATTTCTCTGATGATTAAGAACGATGAGCATTTTTTCACATTTGTTAGCCTTTCATCTGTCTTCTTCAGAGAAGGTTCTGTTCATGTCTCTTGCACAGTGATAGATGGGATTGTTTGCTCTTTTTTTGTTGATTAATTTGAATTCTCTGTAGATTCTAGTTATCAATCCTTTGTCAGATTTGTAACATGCAAATATTGTTTCCCATTCTGAAAGTTGTCTATTTGCTTTGGTCGTTGTACAGATGCTTTTCAGATTAATTAAAATTTGTTTATTTTTGTTGCTGTTGTGATTGCCACTGAAATCTTTGTCATAAAATCTTTCCCCAGATCGACATCCTTAAGAGTTTTCCCCACACTTTCTTCTAGGATTTTTATCATTTCACGTCTTAGATTTAAACCTTTCTCCCATCTTGAGTAAATTTCATAGGTGGTGAAAGGTGCAGGTCCAGTTTCAGGATTTCACATGGGGAAGTTCTCCCAGCACCATCTATTGAATAGGGATCCTTTTCCCCACTGTGTGCTTTTGTTGGGTTTATCAAAGATCAGATGGGAAGTAGAGACTGGCTCCATCTCTTGGTTTTCTATTCTGTTCTATGTGTCTATGTCTCTGTTTTTGTGCCAATACCATGCTGTTGTGATCACTGTGGACACTTGTAATATAACCTCAAGTCTGGTAGAGTGATGCCTGGACTTTTGTTTTTATTACTAAGAATTACATCGGCTATACAGGGTTGAATGGACCCATTTTTGGTGAAACGATTATAATTACACTTGCCATTTGCTGACCCCCATAGTGTGCCTGGTGACGCATACGATCCTTGTGGCAGATGTCAGTATCACTGCTTTACACACGAGACACTGAGTCTTAGAGAGGTTAAAAGACTTGCACGAGTGGTGACTGCAGATCCATGTTCTTTCTGATCACCTAGGACCCAAACTTTGCCCAATAATTGCTCAATAGGTTTCCGGCTTTGATCTGTGCACCCACCTGTGTGGGCCGATACCTAGGGGTGGCTGTTGCGACCAAGGCCAAAAAATCAGCGGCTTAAATAAGACAGAGCTCTGCCATCCTGCTCTGTGTATCACTATTATTTTTTTAATGGAGTGGTTGTGGTAGACCAGAGTTCCACCAGAAGAAAGGGAAAATAGCCAGTGAGGTTAGGAGAAATAAATGTTTTTAGGGTTCACCAAACTGTGAAGTACAGCTGAAGCCATCCAGACAAAGTGCCTCTGGATGGCTAAAAAGGATACAAATGAGACAAAAATGCCCGGTTACTGTGTAGGGGAAGAAAGAAATAATTTTCCTCTGTCGTCTTTAGTTCAGTGCCTGGGGTCTGTGTACTAAAGAGTTAAGAAGGGGAAAGGGCTTATGTCAAGTGCATGTGGGAGCCCAGGAGGGGAGTGAGTGGCCTGTTCTGGGCTTGTGTATCTACCTGGGTAGGGGAAGGGAAAGGGGTAAAGGCCTCTAACAAAGGAACACACAGGTTTCTTTAGGAAAGACAAATGGGTTTTTAGCTTAACAAGCAGGAATGAGAGCTGGTGGTGGTGTTTGCTGTAGTGGGAGTGGCCTCCCGTCTCCCAGGCTGGACGCTCCTCTGGAGAAGAGACACAGGTGGTTTCTTCTCGGCCTCCCTCCTGGGAGCAGGTCTGCCCTGAGGAGGAATTTATGGCAGCTTTATTTCCCAGAGGTTTCTGCTTTTAATCACATAAGGGAAGTTCTGAGCAGGCTTTTTTTTTTTTACCCCCGGCTTCTGTTGAATCTTGATTGTTTCCAATTTTAAATAATCTTTGTGCCAAAGTGGCATATTTTAGGTAGTGTATTCTGATCTCCTTCAACTGAAGGAACAAGATTCTTCCCCTCTGCTTCCATTTATTGCTTCTGGATTGTTATTATTTTCAAACTTTTTAATTTATTTTTTACTCTGTATTCTAGTGGATACAAATGTGTCTTCATACACATGTGAGCCACATCTTCTGTTGTGCCTGTTATGTGCAGGCGCCCTTGACTTTGAGTCCCCTGACCAGATTAATATGCAATGGGGTGGAGTAACAAGCCAGATATTCAAAAAGAACTGTTAGAAAAGCAGACAGTTGAATACAGTGCTAATTAACAGGATGTGGGGAGACAGTCTTTTCCAGAAATAGTCACAGGGCTCTGCAAAGCCAGGTTCCCGCATCCCCCTCCCTCACAGGCCGGTGTCCACAGGAAACTGCTTCACTCTGAAGGGCTGTCCTGTTCCAGAGGACTTCACCCTCAGGACATTTTTCGTTTCTTAGAAGGTCTTGTTCTGGTGGATATGCAGGTGGCTGGCCTGGAGAAGGAACCGGTTTCTCCAGCCCCCAGGCCTTTGCAGGCAGCTTTCCAGGGCAGGAGAGGGACTGTCAATCTCCAGCTGGTGGGAGCCAAAGGCAAGGCCACGATGGGACTGAGTGGGGTCTGGGCTCTGGAGGACTTGAGAGAGGCAGCCGGAGAAGAGGCTGTGGAGGCCCAGCCGGGAGGATGGGCTGGCTGGAGACTCTTGTGCACCCAGCCTGGGCCTGAACTTCCGGTGTCCGGCTGCTATGTGGGGCTGGCTGATGATTAACAAGGAATTCTGCCCTCTGACGTGCTCACACCTTCCTGGAGTGTGGGGCCTGTGGAGGGCACATCTGTTTGCCTGGCACAGCCAGTGACCTGATAGAGCCATTCTGTGAGGAACTCCCAGTTTCTGCGTGAGGAGGGTCAGGATCTCTGGTGACCCTACAGAACTTGTCCCCACGTTTGTGGAGAGGGGACGACAGCCAAGAGGCCTTTAGGACACAGACACCTTCGCCAAAGAGGAGACTTCCCCGTCTGAGGTAGGACTGCTCGGCAGTGTGGCCCTCCTATGCCGGCATCTGCCTGGCGGGTTTCCCTGCAGGGCCCCAGAGCCCAAGGAGACCGGCAGCTGGTCCCTGCAAAAGGGCTGGGCTGTCACACACATAACCTTTGTTTTCCAACTTCCAGAGAGTTAAAAATTAAAAGAGTGGGCTTCCTGGGGAGTTCAGGATTTTGAGATATGTTCTCACCAGTTAGTTGCTTTCACTGGGCTCTGTCCTCTAGGACGGGCTGAAAGCTGACACTCAGCTGGAATCTGGGGAGTCGAGAGTCAAATGCTGGAAAATTACTGTGACGCAGGACTCATGCTGTCCACCGGACAGACTCGTAAATGCCATTTTCCTGTGATAGAAGGACTTACGGAATGTGGAATCCCCTGAAGTTTCTGGAATTTCTGAGAAAGTAGGCACTGTGTTTACGGGCACAGAGCTGTGAGTTAGATCCCACGTATTTAATGCTATTTAATGAGAATGAAGTTTTTAAGAAGACTGCAGATTTTCAGCTAAAAGTACAGTCTTCTGTAATGACGTGAACAAGAAGTTTAGTCTCAGGTCCTGCCCACACTGCCCCAAAGAGCTGCTAACAAACCATGCCTGGCATATGCCCTCATTTATTTACAGCCATTTATCTGGTTTCAGTTAAACTTGAAATCAGCTTTGTGATAATGTCTCAACTGCACACATCCCTCAAATGCCATCTCCTCCTAAACCCATGTCCTGGTAACCTCAGTTTCTGGGCTCTTGGTGTATTCTCATGCCACATGTCCTGGGGGTTCTGTGGGGCTGTCCTCTCACCCAGAGGTGAAATGAGAAAATGTGTGTGAGGTGGAGGCTGGATGAGGGTTTAGTAAGTTAAACAATCTGTTCTCTGTCTGTGTCTGACTCAACTTGCTTATCGGTGACCAGAACTATTGTATAACGAGCCTTGATCTGTTGCTGGAGTTTCCATAATGCTGGGTCCACATTGTGTGTAATTGCTTCTGGTAAAATGTGTCATCTTTTATAACTAGATGGCTTAATTTTTCCCCCGTCCTCTGCCTTGAGTTGCAGGTAGCTGGTGGAACAATGTACTTGCTGAGTTGTGTCGATTGAACCTTGCAAATTAGTAAATGATTTATTTGGCACTTAATAATTCTGGATCTGGGGTCAATGTTGGAAGGGTGTGACTTCATCTGGGTTGTGTGCAGCTGCTGTATAACTTGCTATTATGGGGACGTATTATAGGGGTTCACCAGGTCTACTTCAGACTGTTGCAAGGTGCCGGGTTCTCTGATGGGACGGTACCACAGCACAGAAATTTCAAACCTCAAATTAGGACATGAGTATAGTTTAGTGCACAGGCTCACTTTTGCTTTCCAAAGACATCAGGGAAACAAGGAGTGGAAACCCCACATTCCTTCTCGTGAGCCGTGAATACCTAGGAAAGCTTAACATCACTTGTGGGCTGTGGGCCTCAGGGCCTTGTCACCCTCCTTGCCGACACTCTGGTTTACTCAGTGACCGGTTGCTTCCCATCTGGGTTTCAGTTCTTGTGTTTCTGCTCCTGGATTGGCTGTGGGCTCTGCCTTCCAGGGCCTGCCAGAGAAGAAGAGAGATCAGAGCCCTGAGTGTGTGTATATCAACACAGTATCAAACCTCACTTTGGGGTCTCCGATGGGACCTGGCACCTCATATTTCAGAGAAACAGGTGGATTCCCCTTGCTGGACTGTGGAATCTGTGTAGACACCCAAAGCTGAAGTGCCCATCAGCCAGGTCCCTGGGCTCCACACGGCGGGGTGTGCAGGTGTTTGAAATAGGGAGACTCTTTCCTGAGGCTGAGCAGTGCTGCTTTTGTGGACGGGTCCTGGTCTGTGGGCAGAGAGATGATTTAGCCCTAAATGCTCCAGTGGGACAAAGCAGTAATGGTCAGTCCCTTGGGTAGGCCTGCAGGGGAGAAGGTAAAGGCCTAAAGCAAAAACGCAGGGCTGGAGGGTGAGTAGGAGGCTTATCAGAGGAAATGTGTGGGAAGGAAGGACCCCAAGAGGTACAGGGCAGAATCCTCACAGGCTGGGCCTTGTTTGGTCTGCCTTGACCTCCCTGACTCTGCCCTCATCCCCTTCCGCCCCCTCACTCTGCCACAGAGCCCTCTCTGTGGTTCCTCAACCTGCCCAGCATGGTTCTGCCCCAGGGCCTTTGCACGTGTGGTTTCCTCTGCACTGTTCCCACACATGTCTGGTGAGGTGGCGGTGGCCTCACCTCGTCAGGTCCCTTGTGCAGCGTTTTGGGAGCCTGTTTCCTACCACCCTGTGTGAGGTGATAGACAACCCACCCCCGCCATTCTGTTTCTCTGCACACCCACTGCCCCCTTCTAATAGGCTGTGCAGTTTGTTCAGTCATTTTGTTGCCTGTCTTCCCTTTGAGACTGTGAGGTCAGAAGTGGGCAGGATGGTTTCTCAGGGATATGTGACTGAAAAAGTGGCAGTGAGCCCACACTCTGCACTTCAGTCATAGCCGTACCATCTGTATACCGCCATGAAATGTGGGTTGCCAGGGAGCCACATCACTAACTCAGTGATTCTTAAACTTGGGCATGCATGCACAGAATCTCCCAGGAGGCTTGTTTAAATACAGATTTCTGCCTTCCTCCAGCTATCCTTGCAGCCCCCACCCCGAGGTGGGCCCAAGAACGTGCTTTCCTGACATGTTTCTAGGTGAGGCTGCTGCACTCATGAGCTGGTAGGGCACAGGAGAGCCCTGCGTGGCAGACACTCCGTGGTGTGGGCTGTTACCTGCTTGCTTTCTTTTCCCAGGGTGAGGAAGACCATGTGGAGATGCAGGGCAGCTGGAGAGCCTTCCTGACCACGCTGGGCGTCCTGGCTGGGCTAGCAGGTAGGGGGCACCTGAGCTCGGTGGACTGTTCATGGGCACCCACGTGGGCCATGCCCCGAGGGGCTGCTGGGGCACACAGCTGCTAGAGGGTCCTCCTTAGCCATTTCCCTCTGCACCCCCTTCCCACAGCGACCTCTTCCTTTTCCTCCCGCAGCATCTGGACTCCAGGTGCATCAAATCCCGGCTGTCTTCACTAGGCCGTCACTGTCTTGGGAGTCGGCTGTAGGTTCCCTCCTTCCCACATGTTCATGTACCTGTTGGAAGGTCCCCTCTCCTGTCCGGGTTCTCACCTCTTCAACTTCTACCAGAGGGAAAAGAACATGAAATTCAGAGCAGGATGGTCTGAGTTTGGGTCCAAGTCCTACTGCTGTGACTTCAAGAAAGACTTGCTCCTCAGGTGTCAGCTCCTCCCTGAAGCCTGCCAGAGCCTTGTCCTTCCCAGGGTAGGAATCCAAATTCCGTGTATGGGAAGAATGGGGGCCTGCCTCCTCTGCTGCCTCCCCTTCCTCACCACCCCAGAGCTCTCCCCGGTGCCAGCTGGAACGGGCTCCGGGCTGTGTGAGGCCTGGGTCCCCTGCTCTGACTCTACCTTGTGGAAGATGCGGCAGACAGGCCGGAGGTCCTTGGCATGACTGGAGTTTGTACAACCAGCTTTTTTTTTTTTTAAATTTCAGAATATTATGGAAGTACAAATGTTTTGGTTATGTGAATTGCTTTTGTACATTTGAGTCAAAATTATAAGGATGCTCATCACCCAGGGATGTGCATTAGACCCGTTAGCAGAGTGGCTGTACCCCTCCCTGCAGGCCCCGCCCCCTGCTCTGCTGCGTTTTACTTACATATGTGCACACGAGTGTTGACCAATTAGTTCCAGTTTAATATGTGGGTCTCCTCTGGATTCCAAGCTTCAGGGGCGTTACTCTTGTTTTCTCAGCTGGATTATAAACCCCCGTTGTGTGCTTTCCCACAGCGGTTTGAAGGCACTGTGTCCAAGGCTATTACACAGAGAGGGCTCCTGTCATAAAGGTGTAACTGTGGATTGTCAGGACTGAGCACATTCACGTGACTAGTGCTGACTCGCAAACATGGAGTAAGCAGCGCCCTTCCCGTTTCTTCCCTCCCCTCCCCAGAGGGACCACCGTCCTGACTTCTGACTGCGTGACACGTTTCGCTTGTTTTGTTCTTTACACACACGTGTGCTGTCTTTTGGATGGCTATAGCTCTGGTCCCGGTAGCATTAGAAAAAATAAAATGGAATAAACTATAATAGGAAATGGCAGAGTGTCTGCACTTAGTCAGAACTGCTTTGTGGCATCCTGGCTGGGACATATTTATACATTATGTCACGAGCACCAGGCTGTGGTGTCGAGCTGTGTTTGTGGGCAGAGGAGTTTGGGAGCCCTGTGCTAAAGCAGGGCAAAATGTTGTGCTTATTAGACAATTGCAGACTGGAGAGGAAAACAAGGCCCTGCTTGTGCAGAGGTGAGGCCTGACTGGGGCTGGCAAAGCACCTCAGTGTATGCCTAAGGCTCATGGCACTGTACCGGCCTGTTTCAGTCATGGTTACAAAAACCTCTTCCAGAGTTTTGGTGGGCAGCTGGTGAACTCTGGGTCTAGTGTTCCTGAGACTTTTATCCCTGGAGGAGCTGACTCTTTTTTTTTTTTTTT